TCATAATAAACATTCTTATAAATTATTGTATACGACGTTTTCTCTACCCATCGATCATCAATAGACAATGGACATTATGCATTTATAGAAAAATTGCATTTGCAAAAAATATAAAGCTCTATACACTGATGATTGTGACGAAGAAAACAAGAGGCGTTAAATTCGTCGATTCCGTTTCATACGAACGATTCGTATCGCGAGACAAGGATATATACTATAATTCCACGTTTTCGATTTGTATATCCGGCACGTCGCGCCGACCCCATTGAAAACGCTCGGAAACGATAAAACAATATACTCTGGCCACGCCACTGACCTCCCCAGTGGAAACGCTTCGAAAATGTATTGAAAACACTCGAAAATAATCGAAATCAAACAAGTTACCAGATAAACAGAAATCTACCTATAGCTCCGCGAGCTCTCCGGTGAATGTTTCGAATATGTGACATATAAATATAATTAACCAGATACTTTAAATACTTTTACAAATGTACATAGTTAATCACAAGATTAAGTATGTATCCATGTTGATAATAAGAATTAACAAGAAAATGATAGAAGCACGCGTATTCAAAACAAAAAACATAATACGTATGTTATAAAGCTTACGTGATGTGCAAACTATAAATTGTAAAATTGATTAGATAAAAAGGTACGAAACGAAGAGACAGTTATGGGCGTAGATTTTAAGGATGGTATACTAAAAATGCACGTCGAGCCAACAGATTTATCTAAATGTAACAGAACGTAGTACGCGTGCCACAAAAGATGTACAATACGTGTATTGAGATATGATATTCTCTCTCTTGCACAGTCACGTGTGACACGTCCAATATATTGGATATTCGTGATTTATAAAAGGGGATACATGGTCCGCTATCAACCGGAATCGATACGCTCGACGAACAGACGCGTAAGCTATTGATAACGAACCGTTTGTTACGTGCAATACAAAAAACACCGATGCATTTGCAATTATCGCTTTGTTTGGAAACAATTCATTGTACGTAGAACAATTTATACATTGTAGACAACCATTTATACAGAATGAATTAGTATGCATGATCACGTGAAACAACTAATTCTCCTTCGGTTTCATTAAAGAACTTTCTATGTGAATTTTGTATTTAATGGAAATTATTTAATAAATAAATTGATTTCGTTTATGTCTTCTTTATACGATCAATGTGTTTCTTATTGACTCGGCCTGTATGTAGAAATGTTTGCGGACATTCAACTAAAAAAATATGTATTTAATACAACAGATGCATGAAACGAAATGTTACAAATGTTAAAAACGCTTGAATTATCACTCCACTGATTATTAGGCAAATAGACTAAAGTCGAATTCGATTTAATGTACAGTGAATTCTGTATATAGAGTGCAAGCGATTATTATGTTGCCAGCAATTATTTTGATAGAGTCATTAGGCAGGCTGTGTATGTACCATAACCATAATCTGATACGGGGGTGCTGCTACCGGTAAAAGTCACGCATCCTGTTGCGACTTGCCACTCCTCGCTTCCCTAAGGGGTTTTAATGCATATATTGCCGTGCAGCGATTAACGAGAGTCGAATTAATGATTGCATACGCGAAAGGAGATTAAACTCGGCTAATTGATTATCGATAGTATAGTATAGTAGATTGTATAAATAGCAATTTCAGAGTAACTCGGATGTTGAAGTTGTATTGGGATCATGATGAAAAACATATAATTTATCTCAACAATTCCATTTTCACATTATGTCGTGGATAAGAGATTAAGAATTAAATACGTCAAGTCAGATGCAATAGAAGCCATGGTAGAAATAAATATTCGAATGTATGTACATATGTAAAAGTATACGTACGTATAGAAAAATATCAAAACGATAGATAAAAATCTTTGGTCTGTGCCGGCTAACAACCGATTTTTGTTTGGATTCAATTTTCACACGTTATCTTTTTTTGTACGAATTGTGGTTATTTTGTATTAACGAAAATAACCAACGCAAATCTCTCTAGAGTTTTTCATCAGAAATATTCGACACGATAACTTTTTTTCATTCGTCTTGTGTAAATGGATACGTATCGATAAACAGAGAAAAAAAAACAAAAGAGTAAGCGAGAAGGAATAGGATAGGGAGGCGGACAATTCAAACGGGAGGCTTCATACGTATCGCTATGTATGAATTTCCATTTCCCAGATCGAATGAGCAATTTTCAATCTAGCCTCATTGTGCCGGCTCGAGGCGGCATTTGCGCTTCGTTTCTGCCCGTAATTATATAGCATAGCTGCATCGAAGATAGACGACCATTCCCGTTTGGCTCGCTGACCACAATAATTGGCACCGGCCACGAGAGGACACACTCCGATACTTCTTCGTCCGTCAATTCATTAAGATGGCTTTCATACGTACTGATTCCCACGATGATTGATTCCCCGAACGAAACGACTAGACTGCAGGCGTTATACGTGGCAAATGCGTAATAATTGGCCGTTTTAAACAATGTCTATCTTATAAGTTTTAGCACACTTCCGAATGCTTGTCTATCGAACAAGTATTCCAAATAAAAAATCATTAGACACTATCTCATTTGCCGAATAGTTTCAATGTACATATTATCGAGCTGAATGGAATTCTAAACATCAAAAACTGCAATATTCAAATTTTAAACTAATATCCATGATATTTTAATTTGCATCAAAATCCAGTCTATTTGTGACTTACGGTTGTTCATGCATGTGAAAATAGCATGGACGCAGAAGTAACGAAGATAAAGAGCAGAATAGGAAGAGAGAAAGGGGATGAATATCGATATGCAGTCATAACGAAGATAAAGAAGCGAACGCGAATGGTGCGTGGTGGGAAAGCAAGATAATTCTCATTGTTCAGCAGTGGACGCCCTCAAGGCGTCACTTCAAAGCCGTAGCTCTCATCGAACCAGAGTCCAGCAGTTAATGAACTGCCCTTCGGCATTGCGATGTATACGTATATGCATAGGTGGTCGTGCTAATCGTCTACGAGCCAGAACTCCGGAGAGATCTATTACTCATTTACATAAAGGGCCGCAACGAGTACAGCAAGGGTTTATGTCTCTCTGTTCATCACCAAGAATATATAGGAACATTACCACCACCTAAATTAAAATTTTTTTTATTTTGATATGTCAAAATTATGTTAAAATCCAACAGTATCGATACCAGATCGAGCATTGAAAAACAAGACATAGATTTATTACTCGTTTTGAATTCTGTCCGCCTAGGGGAAACTAACACAAGCCCGAGCTGGCTCAGTTTCCGTGTCCCAAGCTGTATAATAAACAGCTAAACAGATAACGTAGAATATAACCAGACAACACTATAAATATTTATAGACTCCCTACCACCTTACGTTTGTTTCTTCGAAATTATAAAGTATGCTTTAATTATTCAAGATTATAAAGTACGCGTAATAAATTGAATGATCATAGAAATCGGTGATATAGTGATACCAATTTCCTTCGTTCCAAATAATGGCACTGCTACATCGCTCATGCAAACACCATAAAATTGGTATTGATATTGCTCTATTTCATCATAAATAACATGATTGTTATCGGGAAATAAATAGTTCAATGATACAACTGTTACGAGTAAACCGCGCCAAGATCCCGACGGTGACTGAGTATGTCAACTTGATCAGTTGAAATTTAAAGTAGTAAGAAAAGGACGCGCGGACGACTCAAGATGTTACACTTGCAGGACGTGGACGATCCAGAGAAGGTCAGTCCCTTTTTGCCACTAGATATAAAAGTTGTCGGATTGCGAGTTACCGTCGTTGATACATCTCGAGTGGCAAAGATGTACCATTCGTAGAATACTCTGGTTACCAAGCTAATTGGAGACAGGATTGTTGTAAATGAATTGAATTAAGTTTATGAATTAGAAACTAGAGTCTATATTCTGATCAAAGTTCACGTTACAATTGCTAGATTCTGGTCGACTCATATAATTACAGTAAGAGAATTCTTCTTCGCTTTACGCGGTGAAGCCGCGGGGAAAGTTTAAGACTATGAACTCACTCGAAATCTCTTAACGGTATGAGACAGGGTTTCGGCGAGCTGGATATTCAAGTCAAGACTAATCCAAAGAGCCAAGATGTAGTTCTTTTATACCCAAAACAGGTCACTCCCTGGAGGGGGAATGGCCATATATGGGCATTTTCTTGGAACTTCTACGCTCATCTAGGTCTGTGAGTGTCCTACGCAAGGGATGCGTACGTGAAACGACAATAGTATCGATTGAAATATTCTCCTATTGTCAATTAATGAAAATTAGAAATATATTCTGATTAATATGAAAGAAGAAGCAAATATTTAAAATGACTTTAATTTTTCTGATGATATCGGCAGTCCTTGAACTAAAATTAGGAAGCATAAACGAACATTGTACGCCACCACGAATTTTCCCGTTAGAATTTATAAGACACGATCACGCGATTCATGAAAAATATCATTAAACGCCTGTGCCGTGTTTTGCACGACATTCCTAATATACATAGTTTACTTTACCGATATCAAAACGAAACAGCCTAAAGTTCCACTACTACAAAAACAATATTTTAAATGTGCATTCAAAGTTCCACCCCTTTGAAAAATACAAGACATGTTACCAGGAGAAAGAAGATACCAAGAAGAGTCGCTAGTCGACTAGTCATAAATTGCGCTCTAAGCAGAAAGACAAAGCGGCGTTTGTATCCGACACCGAAAACGTACTTCAAAGGCGAAAGCCGGCGCGGGTTCTTTATAACAAGGTCACGCGCGTGCGACGATGGGGAAGCCACGTGAGCGCAGTAGTCTAGCTCCTGGCACAGTAGCGACATCTCGGACGCGATGCTCACTTATTTAGGCAAACGCACCCCATCCGTGAGTTTAGAAAGAGCCACGCTTTTCGTGTTGCCCTTAGTGGGACTGTCAAAGACGGCTTAACCCTCCTATCCGGGAAACGAGAGATCAAGTAGGGAGAGCGTCACTCACCTGAACCATTGATGTATGTCGACACGCGAGACAAACCTCCCCGCTTGGCGGCAGTCTGACGGCGAAATCAGTCCGTGCCAACCCCTGTCGTTGGCCTCGCGGCCCGTGCATTCAGCATCAGAGCTGCCGCGTATAACGAACACGCCGGCACGCATGCACGCACGCACGTGTGCAACTGTTGTTCACGTCACTACCACGACCACGCCCACGCGCCACGATATTCCTTCTTCCTTCGTCCACGTAAACGACTAGTGTTGTTAACCACCGCGAGGGGTGCTGTTAGCTGAGTATCGGCGCGGGCGCAACAAGAGAATCGATTATTCCGGCTACGGCACCCTCTCCTCTTCTAGGGTCAATCTTAATCTGCCCACGATAAATCTATCTCGGCTGTGCATCGCGGATTCACGCCCACCGGCGTCTGTCATCTATGACGTCTCGCAACACGAACCAAATCCAACTTCTGATAAAACGTAATCTATCTAGTATTTATTGATTTCATTTAAACAGATTTTTTACTCCATCTCTCTGTTCAATGAATTTGTTCTTAAGCATCACGAATTAAGATCGAAGAGGGATAAGAACTGAAAACATAGGTTAAATTGTAATATTTTTTTTATTCATTCTATTAAAACACGATTTTGTATGAATTTATTCTCGAATTGTAATAAAGGATTGCATAGGCGAGTAAGATATAAACTTTTAAAAAGTACAAAAAGTGTCAGTCTAAATTTCAGATTTTAAATTGACGTTACAAATGGTTTATGTGCATAAAAATCCGCAATCTATTTATTAACGAGATTCGTTACTGTAAAGACGATTTCATTTCGGGCGAACTTAGTTGTGCCTGTACAATTTTTGAGACTTTTACCGAGTATTCGCTAATTATCTTCGTTGGGTAACATTTTGGTACGGCCGAATATGCACCGAGTAGCAACAGTCGAGAAAAGTTGGACTTCGACGACAAGGTAGCCATTTAATTTCCGCGGGTTAGACTGTTGTTATCAAGTTTGACTTTTAACGTGTTATCTTAGAGACGGAAGGGAAGAGTAATCATGCAAATGCGATAACACCTGTCCACGATTTTCAAACGTTTTAAACGTTGGACAGAAGTTAAATTAAATGCGGTCCGATATTTATTCAACGAAGGGCGGAGATAAATGTCTTTACGAAATTCGAGCGGAAAGTATCGGTCGGTGAAATTCAATTCTCACTCGATTAATTGAATCGAAATCGAATGTAGTTTTTCAATTGCTGCTTTAATATACCACCTGAAAGTATAAAATAAATAAATGGCAAACTTGTATTCTAAGTTTTCAAATATAATATAAACTCTAAAAATATGTTTAATAGTAAATTATGATTTGTATTCATGCACATGTCTATGATCTCTCTTGAGTCGTTTGGACTCATACCCTGTACTTGAAACGTCAAGAAGTGTTGAATAATTTCTGCAATCGCCGACGACCTACTAGACTCTGCATTCCCACTTGTATCGTATAGTCTAGTTGCCTACATGAATAGGAAAGTTAACGTCCATTCCAGTTCATAAGTCATACGAGCGTAGCGTGACGAAAACTTGAATCAATAACGAATCACGTCAATGAATAAATCATCTAGTTGAATTATCTTTACATTTTTCATCTAATGTCTTCCAATGAATGGTGTATTTTACTCAGCCTCATCCAAAGAACCGTATATGTATAGTGGAAAAGAGAAAGAACGATTGAAGTTGACAGTGAGATCTCTGCAAGTAGAGAACCGGAAGACCAAAAAAGCAACATGGAATTTATATACATCGATGGAAGTCGATTTATGTAAATGCTTCTACAACCTTTCTAAATGCCGCGTTTTCCCCAAGGACGTTTTCTTCCGATGGAAATGCAAATGTACTCTTGATTGAAATAATCGATAGTTCTTCTCGGTAAAAAGAAACCGTAACTGGATTCGATAAACGGAAATAGAAGTAATGTGATTTTAATTTTCCGGCGGTTACCCAAACGAAAACCGAACTTCCTACCTTGTAAAAAGGTTTATCTTTATTATTGCATCACTATCATTTGTCTCGGAAGACACTTTCAAATTAAGCTAGTAGAGATAAATTAATATTCATTATAAAGGATTCTTTACAAAACCGCTTTAAGTTTGGAAAACTTAAGTCCATTAATGCTTCAATAAACGGAGATAAGAGTAATTTGATTATAATTTTCCGGCGATTATTACCGGAATGAAAACTGAACTACATGCGCTATAAAAAAAGTTTATATTTATTATCACATCAGTAACATTTGACTAGATCACTTCCGTATTAGATTAATAGAAATAAATCAGGATTCATTATAACGAATATTTCACTAAAATAAAGTTAACTTCGATCGATTTGAACAATAATTAAGGATTTTCTTGTGTTCATTGTACCTTCAGTGATATAAATGGATCAGGAATTTTTCACATTAAACAAAACATTAATTTAAAAAATCTTAGGTCCATTGAAGACTAATTAATAATATAAAACCTCGAAATGTTACCAATTAATGATATAAAACATCGAAGATATAGAAATTGAAGTGCATAATTCTGTTTGCACGCAATCACGGACACAGTGCTTCGTGTATAATTCGGTCGATCATCTGCTTCTCATGAAGATGACGCTGTCGTAGAGACTCCAGATATGAATCTTCGACGACGTCGTTCGAGTCTAGCAGCGAACTGAAACTCGATGTTCGTTCAAATTTCTTAGGCCTCCTCGATGAGGTTTTGTCACAGTTTCTCTTTACGTATCTCCTGTTTTTCACGTTACTAGTTGTCTGAATGATTTCTCGATCTTCAGGTATCTTCAAACACTGATCTTGTGCCTTAAAATAATAAAATTACATTTTCAGTAAAAGAAACTTTGTAGAGCTTATTTAGGATTGCAGTAAAAGTACAAGAAAATGTCAAATAATCTGTATTATATAATTTAATTTGATATATAACAAATAATGATAATATTAATATTAATAATAATTAGACTCGCGCTTGTAGTAAAAAATTATTTACTAAACTTGTTTAAAAATGTAAAATAATATCCAAGATTTTTTGTAGTTTGATCGATGCAGTGAAATATAACAGTCGTTACTTATTTAAAACTGAAACCAATAAAACTGGCTAGAAAGATAGAAGGATCTTAGGAAATGCCAGAAGAATCCTCTTTTCGGACAATCGTACAAGGGGATATCAAGAAAAGGATCATCGTTGAACGTTCGCGAGAAAAGTAAGGACTCTTGTTTTACCTTTGCATCGACCTCCTGATCCTTCAAAGGAGGCAGAAAGCATTTTTCAACGATATCATCTTCCGACTGTGGACAAAAAGGAAAAGTTACAAGAGTTTAAAGGACTTCTCGCGCTACAACAAAGTAGAAGCAATAGAGATCTAGAAGCTCCATATAATAATAGAACAGACAGTTCCATAGCTATACTATTACATGTACACAGACCTGTTCTTAAAACTTAGAATAATTTATCAAAAGATCTGATAAACATTCCAAACAAAAAAAACACCAAAGGCTCTCGTAATTGAAATATTGTAATAAATCATATATTCGTATAATCAATAATATGAAAAACTAGCATTTTGTAAACATTAAACGTGTCCATTTGTCCGTACATTCTCCTACAACACCTTATTCAATTGCACGTTTCATAATACGTGCTAATATTTACGGATAGGAGAGTACCCGTTACGGATAGGATAGTACCGCATCATTAATTAAATATCAACAATGTTAGTTGGTAAAACTTGTCGTACATCAACGAACTTCATTGTTTCCTTAAAAATACCAACAAGCACGGCACGAAATTATTTGGAAATAGTTTCCCGCGAAGTTCCCGGTCGCGAAACGTCGCGAGCCATTCCCGAATTCCTCCGCAAATTGTTTTGCGTTGACCATTGACGCGGAATAGATGCAAGGTACAAAGAAAGTTTCCGACGGCGGATATGCATATAAAGGGTGCGCAAACTTGTTGAAATTCAGGTCGCGATTATCGATAGAGAAGGGACACGAGACAGGACAGATGAGGATACGGCAGGGGGAGGGTGACCGGACCACTCTCTCTCGCGCGGAAAGTAAGCAAAATCTAATTTCGGATGGCGGTAGGCGAGTCACGGGACCCCCTTTCCAAGGGAGACGGTAACGTAGGTTTATCCACGTAGAGAGAATTTCTGTACCTTCCCTCTCGTATCCCACCCTGTCCTTGTGGTAGTTGCGGGCTGCAGTCCTCGCTTTGTGCATATAATTGGATTTAGCTTCGGATACCGGTCTCTACTTTGCCCGACAGCATCCACACACCCCTTCCACGACCCATCGTCCTTTTCCCGTCCCTCCCCATACACGCTCCCTCGTATTTATGTCTTATGATTAGATCTAATCCTGCCTAACGGCTAATTTCGCGTACATCGCCGGCAAACGAATACGTGATAAGGGTTTCCTAATTAATGAACTATGACGAAACGCGTTCGTCTTGCATGTTAGCAAATCTCAATATTACCAGAAGTTAATTTATATCAAATCTATGATATTGCCAAAGAAAATTTATGTATGGTCTATTATGTATTATGTTATGTATAATCTATGTATTGCCTATTGATAATAACTACAACTAATATACATCCAATTTAGAAAGAGATGTACTGTCTTCTGGCAAGATTTATTGTCCTTTCCTGTCGAAAGTGCACTTTAATAATGTAATGAATAGCGAGATATAAGAACTGCAGCAAAGATACAAGATCATTGAACATAAAATTATATAGGAATTTCTTTTCGTGTTGTCTCTTCCCCTTATAGCAGGATGACGAATTAACATTGTCCAGCGTTTGGTCGTGTTACGGTCGATACTTAATTGCCAATTAGAGTAGGCAAAGAGGCATCGCGACGAAAACTGATTCGTTTTACTCGTTCGCGTGAAAGTCAAGCCTCGTAATGTTCCGGCAGGGAAGATTTATAAGCGAAATTAATTACGTACGTATCACTTTCACGTTAACAATGGCGAGAGAGCGCTTCTCCCGTTACTTTTTTCTTCGTCGCCGTTCCTCGTTCGTTTCATCTTCCCCCGGTTACGCGTTTTGTTCCCGCGTTCGTTACAGGATCGTTAACGTCCTACAACGAGCGCTCTCATTCAGACTTTTAAATTTATTTTTACGCAGAAGTGTAGGAACGTGCTATACGGAATACCACGTTGACGTAATAACGATGATTCGCGCCGTCTGTTTAATTTATCGCTTCTGATTGGCCCTTGAACGATACGAAATTAACTGGAGATACTCATCGCCACCAGCATCGTATCGTAATTACACCTTCGGTATTTGTGAACATCAAAATGTGCTGTCATTCTCTTTCACCATGAATTAGATTGCTAACCCATATTTCAGTCTTTAGTCCTTTTCCCAAACAAATAGAAAATATAAAAATCCTTTTCATACATAATAAAATATGCATACATTATCCTATTATTTCATATTCGATCTAAATGTTCTCCTTTACTTTTCATAAAATTTGTTCCTTTCCCGCTTTATTATAGCTTCGTTGTACTTCTTGTGCTCATATAATTTTTTTATACAAGTTCGAACCTTTGACTGAATTTGAGTAACGTTAAAAAACTGTTCAGATTCCGTTTTATACCCTACGTCGCAAATAGAAATGTCTGTGAATGTGTTTTGCAAGTAAAAAATTGTTAAAACATTTGCCAGCTTTGATACTCAGCAACGGCTTCCGCACTGTGTTGATAAAAATGTTGAAATATCAAATTGGATTGAACGCTTTTTTCGAATTATTCACGAGATTCCCGAGCGCTTAAGTGCTGGCCTTTTTAAACGAACGCGAAATTACTGTTTATTGCAACCTAAAGTGTCAGTCAGAAACATTGGGCTCCGTTTCTATCTATGATTATAGAACTTTTAGTTACGTTTTAATAGAAAAGTATCCATTTGTTGTTTTTCCTGTCATCATATGTTGTAATTAATAATATAAAATTTGTTAATAATAAAATATTGTATTCTGGACAATTAAAAAATCATTAAAGAAAAACCACAATAATTACAATTGAGATTAAATATGTACATAAGAATTTATTAATGAATTTGATTCAAGAGATAGAATCTGCTTTTTTCTTTTAATCTTCTATACTCTATACATATACCTCTGCTATCGAAAACTTTTATCCAGCTCGGAAAATACTCTGAAATGTTTTCAGAGAGACACGTCGGTACAATTCGTTAAAAACTTGGATACTGTTATTTTTCGCGAGACCGACTCGCTTCAAGGAGGATCGGACAAACCTCGGTCGACGTTGGACATAGAAATCATTGCGCATGACGTGTACCTTGAGCTTGTGCGCCTGCAACAGTATCCGCTGGCGATTACGCGCACTAACCGAGTTCCCGTATGACCTTCGCCGCATCAGCCACTCTCTCTGAAACAACAAACAATCCCTGAAGCTGCGCCATCGCTTCGATGAAACTTTCAAACTAAACAAATCCGAGGGTTTCGCGCCGGGGGCTCTATTTACTTTTTACGAAAGCCCCTCGCGACGGCTTCGCCATCCCTTTGCGAGTTTCCGGTAACGCGTGCACCTACTATCTACTATGTACATGCACCGAGAAATTGCCTGACAACAGCACGCTTTCATCATACACTAACAAGTATCTTCATATTTATTTTGTGGAAAATAAAATGTAGATGTGATAATATTGCTCAAAGAAATTTCTGTCTCATTTATAATAGCGCTTACAAGAATTGCAGTATTATTCATAATTAGCAAATTAATTTTGAGGAATTTTTTGCGAGAAAGAAATATAGACAAGCCACTTTTCTGCCAACAATTCCACGATAACTTGGAACTTAAGCTTCAATCCTAATGGAAGGTAACGTTAATGAATGCAATAATACTTTTTATAAGTTCCCAAGTTTTAAGCTGACGCACTAACTTTTGAAGTATCTCAACTAAATTTATAGTTACAGCGCCTAAAAGTAACTAGAACATGTAATACACTCCATATAATACAATATAGTCCGTTTCAAACAACGAAACAGTGTGATTTGTGTTTAAACCATTTTTCAAAACGAAGTTATACTTTGGGAAATACTTGTATGCAAAATATTAAGCGTTCTGTATAAGCTTGTGAAGAAATTTTACTATAAGAAAATATCTTATCGTAGAAGAGTGTCAATGCTCCTCCCAACTGTGTTCTTCTTATTCTTCCTCCTTCGACTTGTTCTACCTCTCCCACCTTTTATCTGACGCATACCTGCACGCGGTACATACACAGGCAGCGAGTATCCGGCACGGGTTTGCCCGTTAAAAGTGCAGTAAGATCGATCGATCGAGCTACGCCGAAAATCGTCGAGTGCCGACTCACCCCCGGCCGAATCCAGCGAGTAAAGTAGATTATGCAAATGCTCGTCGACGACGCAAAGGGAAATGGTAGGGTGGCTGGATGAAGGGTACCAAGGATGGATAGAAAGGAAGAACAAAAGAAGAAGAGGAAAAGGGGAAATTGTTTCTGGCGGAAGGGTCAAGTGCCTCGATTCATTGCTCAGGGCTGTCCTTAAATTTTAAACATGCCAATAAATGATGACAGACCTATCCAAAAAACGTCACGGTTTTTATTTTTTTAATGATTTTAATTCCTTTAGTTTAGTTCATGATTTTTATTATTTCAGAGTTCTTATTGTATATTTGTACATTCTTTGTTTTGCATATAGGTTGTTGTCTACATTTTACTAATCATAAAACTAAATTTAACTGGACTGATGTTCCACTACAAACCTACATATCAAAATGTATTGCAATTATCTGTTAAATGTGAGTATTTTGAACTAGGCCAAAAATAAATTAGAAAACAAGATATTATTTCAATTTATCCCCTTTTGTGCTATCATTTCAATTCTCTCACTCTATTATCAGAACTAGGAAAGAGTCCAGGACTTCAGGTTTTTCGTTTCCCTATTTGTACGTCTCGTCATGCTCTAGCGAGACCGCAACGTTAATGGATGTCAGTACAGTTAATATCATGGCAAGTTAAACCACGGGCAATATTAATACAACCTCTCGGGAGTTAGTGTAATAATGGGCATTATGGTGCACCCATAGCTGCTGTCCCCCTTGTTCCAGCCCGATGACCTGCCCGGGCGTTTCATTTAAATTGTCCTCGACGGTGCATCCGCCAGGAACAAATTTATTTCCCTGTATCGGTGGTACTTATCCCTGTACCAAGTTACTCCGTAATCCCGGATAATAGCGAGTGAATGTACGACAAATGTGCGGCTGGAAGAAAGTGACTCGGATAAAGTTCGCATTTTTCTCTGGTAGCAACCTGCGGCCTGAAACTTCTTTTGCTGTGTAAACTTACCTATCACTCGTGTACACATAACTCATTGGATTCTGGCTCAACATACACATAGACAAAATTGTAGCACGTTTACTTATAATTCATGACTATATTTCTATACAGATATTATCAGTAATTAATTTTAATAAGGAATGATTAAAACGAAACATGTATGTTTATATTTAAACAGTAAAATAATGCAATATAAATTAAACATTCTGACGTGATAGTATTTACATAAAAATTATTCCTAAATTATATCAACTTTTTATCTACATGACCATGCAATTTATCTACCGGTCCTTCAGAATCGAACGAATTATTTACTCTAATTACTCTAATTGAATCAGATCTCTTTGTGAACTTATCACTTTTTATAGCACATAGCTCAGATTGTTCACTTTATTGGAAACACAATTAAGAAGTTAATGAAATAGATCCCAGTTGAAATTTTAGCTAACGCGGTACAAATTCCATTCAAACTTTGCTTTAATAAATGATCAATCTTTCGAGACAGTACGGATAGTTTAATTCCAATAATTATCATCCGAAATATATACGTCACTCACAAATTGTTCAAAGTTTGATTCGCTTTCTACCTCAGGACCAAGATCATCTTCGCGCTGCTAATATCCTGGAATATCTCTTACGCGATACGGTTCTTTAGATTAAACAGAGGCAAGTCGTTTAACTCATACCACAATTTCATCGACGTGATACGTTCTACATAAACACAACATACGTATAGTATATGACATAGCTCCAAGTCATGTACAGAATGTCCTTTTTCGTATTTCACACGCAATTATTAAATTATAACATGCTTCGATATTAAGTGAAACCTAAACTGTTTCATAAAATCTGTTCCTGTGAGTATATTTTATTTGAAATATGCTACAGTTTAGAAAATAGCACGCAAAACTACTTCAGATGATACATCTTCTATTTTGTTAGCAAATATTTGCACAATTGTAATTCCAAGTGAGAAGATAAACAAAAGTTTTTGTTGACCATTGAAAATTGAGTGTTTTCGATGATTTTCTCAAGTAATTACGTCGTTTTTCAAAAAAACAAACGGATTTAGGCTAGAGAAGAGCAGGATCGACGTAAATCGATGAAAAATATCGCGAAGCTCTTCCAAATGAAATTTTGATTTCCAATCCTACGATAACGACCAGATATACTATGAATCGATGTTCATGAGAGATCGCGCATGAGTCAACAAGCATCTCTTCTTCCCTCTGGCTCCGTGCTGGGAATCCAAAAAGATTTACAAGTCTGCTCTCGAGTATTTAGCTCAAAGGCTTCCGGAATTTACTGTACCGAGTATGACAGCGACAACTATTTCCCCCTCGTACGCCTAACGTCACTAGACTGCCGGAGCCACGTCGGCATGCCACCCAGAATGCTGTCTCAGAAGAATAGCATTGCTATCGACTTTTCTAAAGCATCCATCTCTTTCGCGGCACCGCGCCTACGTGGATGCTTCCGCAATTTCTCTAATTCTAATGCAGCAGCTAAACCTACATTCTAATTTAAAATGTATTCCATAAACGTAAATTTATACCTAATTCAATAAAGTTTAGCTCAACATCATTGCTTTTGACTTTTTTTTAAACATCCGTCTCACTCGCGATGCCGCGCCCGCGATTTCTCTAATTCTAATGTAGCGACTAACTCCACACTCTAATTTTCAATATATTCCATAAATGTGAATGTACACATAATTCATTGAATTTGCCCGAACATACTTAAAATTGGTTTATCCTCTCCACTTACTTAAAATTGATTAACCCAAACGAAAAACTGTCAAAAAAATATGATTTCGATGGATGACGAGCTACCTTATCCCTACTATTCCTGTTCTTATCCTGTTTTAACCAGTATACCTCTAAATGCTAATACCCTAATTGGTATTAGTTATAAGGACAACCAAAATTCTAACAGCAAACAGATATCCGGAGTACGTGCTTGCGTACAGAACTCTACCGTCTAATATAGTTTTGTACTTTCAACTTAAGAATTATTACATTTCATTCTAAACTTGGAGTTTAATAATTTAAATTCATTGCAGAAAGAAAGAAATCATAAAATGTTATTCAAAAGAGATTATGATTATTAAATAATGAGTGTTCAAGTATAGCCCAACAATCAATTTAACTGTTCGGAAAGCTGAACGCAAACAATCTATTCTTGATTGGAAAGCTTACTTGAAATTAATTTAAAATAGAATGGGTAAGTTGTCTCTTGAGCGGACATAAAATCGGTCGTCGAAAATTCTTCGCACATAGTTCCGATGCACGTAGTTCGATAAGACTTGTACGAACGGGAGGAAGAAACTGTAAGGTAGTGAATGATAAGGTAGCTGGCAGGAATCGGCCGCATGTTTATTAGATTGAAGTTACGAAGACGGGCGACAAGCTAACTCGCTTTAGGTCTTCCGTGAAATTGTAAACTGTGATAGGTCGATGGAAGCAAAGTTTCTTCCACTTCGCTGTCCCAGCACCAGCAGGTTAACTTCCGGTGGGACAAGGAAACGAGATTTCGAGATGTTTCTGTTCGAACTTCTAACTCGACTTTAGCCGGAATAGTCGAGTTCATCCGCGAGTCATCAAAAATACGATTCATATTTTACTAGTACGAAAGCGCGCTCTGAAAACGTTTCTAAACACCACACGCGTATAAAACCGTTTCATTAAATACATATAAAACGAATGAAATTTATTACGTAAAATAATCTATTATTTCTGTTATTTCCTCATTACAATGATTGTTTCGAACTATTAATAACTTGAACGATGTGTAAAGTAAATTGAGAGAACTTAAAATCAACAACCTGATCAATCTCTTCTCTATCCGTATCGCACGAAGAATCAATTCCAGCTCAATTAAGTACGGTCAAAAGGTGTGTCAGGAAGAGAACAAACGAAATAGACCTACCTTTGCTTGCATCTCAACTGTATCGGGCCCAAGAGAACGATCCAGCTTTGGTATCGACAAAGTCTTGTACTCTTCGATGGTATACGGCCTGTAACCGAGACTCTTCTTCGATTTATCGTCCTGCTTGGCCCTGCTCGAGCTCGTGTCGAGGTCTCGGAGCCCTTGTCGTCGCACGGTTTCGGTGAGAGAGGCCAGGGGATCGACGGTTCCCTCGATTATACGCCGATAAAAACTCAGCTCGCTTTGATCGTCCCTCGGGGTAGCCAGCGTACGTGCATCGTCGTCACTGAGCTGCTCTCGTTCGCTGTCCCCGCAAACCGACAAGGTGGATCCCTTCGGGGATCGAGCATTGTATTGCAGCTCACCTGCGGCCAGAAACAGAGGATGCACAGCTCGTCTTAGAGTGTTCTTCGAAATGAAACCTTTAAAATCAGACCAGAGGCTACTTTGAATGTGTCTCGATTTTCTAAATTCCTCAATTCAATCTTGTAAATCTTTTTATATCAAACTATAGTACGTCCTCGTTATATTTAACTTTCAATGTTTCAGAACTATCTACACAGAATCATATTATTGCATAATTAATTATATGATTAGCATATGATTGAAATTGTATAATTTACTATAATCTCAACTGAAATAGCGTTTAATTTACTAACAGAATATTGCTAATTTCCCAGACATTTTAATAATTACAATTAGACAATAAGAACTTGAGAGCGGTTTAAAATCGAGCAGATAACCTTAATGAATCTTGTCTCACGCGACACGTGATGCTTGAAAAATAACCTGCCTCCTCGAAGAACAATATTTCCTCCTGTAGGAATCCGGGCTCGCGCTTCAAATTACGAAAGAGACTCGACGTTTCCGAATAACAGTAAAGCAGGACAACGGTACGCGGGTAAACAAACGGAAAGAGAAGAAGCACACAAGAAGGGATGCCTCGAGACAACCGACGCGTACGTTCTAATACTTGGTTCGGATATATATCACCGATGTGGAAAAGACATCTAATCACGACCAAAGTAAACGCTCGCCGAGAAAATTGCATCGTTCCGGTAGCGTATTCCCCGCGTGAACGCAACTGCCGCCCCGAGTCACGAAGAGAGAAACATCATCTCATTTCGGACTAACTGAATCTACGACGATAAAGCCCCAAATAGGAGCGTGGCTTCCTCGCCGGCTGGATCTTTGGCGGGAGCACGTTCCCGAGCTTTTTATCAGGCTTCATAGACATCGGGCTGTCCATGGAGCTGCGTTTCGTTGCGAACGCCTTCGAGAAACGCTTTGAACATCTCGCAGAGAACCTCTTGCTTATGGTCTCATCTTGCGTTGAATTGTCTGCATTCTGAAAGTAAATAATATGGCATAGATGGATAGGATTATGTTAAACAAATTTTACGTTTGTATTGACATAAATATACTTTGTATTCTGTCTTATTCTTTGTATCTAAGGTTTCAATACTTAAGCCTACAATATTGAAACTGTTCGAAGTACATAGTAACATTTCGAAACAGTCTATGATAATCTCACGTTTCCCTTAAGACGAGCCGTGACGTCCCGTTTCCCGTTCCTGGAAGACGCCGGGCGTCGTCGTTTGGGCACGTCTGCGAATCCTCTGCTCGCAATTATCGCATTCCTCGTCTTGGCTATCTTCGCGTCTTTGTCGGTACCAGCGTTCGGCGTGGTTTTATTGGATCCGGTATCTAAAACGTTTCCAAAAAAAAAAGAAGTCATTTTCTCCGGTTGAACCACCGCTGTTTCTTCCCCGTCGTTCGTGAAGTAGTCAAGAGCAATTTTAAATGTTTCAACCCCGCAATGATATTGATGTTTGATGTTGTTTATCCTACTTCCTAAGTGCTATCTATTCATATTATCAAATACATAACATCAATAGCGTTAAAAATTGGAATTATGACTAAACTGCTGATTTTTGCGCAGAATTATGCAATTATGATGTCAATTGAAAAAATGAAACCTATCAAATGTCTTCTACTTTAAAAAAATATTTTGATGTCCAACACACTTTGACGTTCTGCATGTTATATACAATCTTTACATTTTCTGACAATGCGTCAAATCCGTACTAATGACAATAATATTTAAATATTAAATACAAAGTATCGAATATCTAAGGGCTTATAAGTTAAATGGTTCAGAATATAAATTTAGTTACATGGCTTTAAGTTACATTCATTGTTCCTGTGTAAAGAACTTTGGTCTCTTGGAGAAACTGCATTAATATCCTCCAACGAATCCGTAGAATATACTGACATTTTGAAGATAATTTCAATTTATTTATAAAGGTATGCGAAGAGCGACAATTAGTATATGTATTATGTTAGTTTGCGTCAATAGGCAAATGTAAATGCATGCTTTACCGCGTAGCTCAGTTCATATTAATACAACATACATATATTGAGGAAAGAAACTCGAGGTATCAAAATTATCACTTCATATGCCCACATCATACGGTCATATATGCTCATATGGTATTTATTATTTGATACTGAAGAGATCAGACAAGGATGTTCAATCTAGCATAAATGATCTCTTGCTCTGAATCTAATACTCGAGAATTCGATCAAAGAATTATATTTTGGAAAAATATCTGTATTTGTAGATATGCATATACATTTAGTACTCCTAACTGGTTCTACGTGGCACCACTCAACAGGCGCTACAGAGAGTTCCATCTATTGCAACAAAACCAAACACCTTGGATAAGGGATGACATCTTCATCTCCCTCTTATGAGTAGTTATCACTGGTAGTCATTTGTTTTGGAAGAAATTGACAGAGATTGTCATTGGATCTCTTTTCAATATATGACAGCAGCACGTAGTAGGGAAAGAAACCCGCGAAAAGGACCTAACACCTAACAGCCGACTGTCGACTTCAGCAGGCGCTATGAATCATTCGTTCGTTTTCTTCAGGACAGTGAGCACGTGCAAGGAAGAGTAGAAGTCAAAGATGGCAAAGAAGACTACTAAAGGTAACAAGCAAGGCAAGAAGAAGAATACTCAAGTAAGTTGTAATAACAATTTGTTCGATTTTATTTACAAAATGTAAATATTATGCATAAAATTATATTATACTAATGTGAAATCGAATTGTGAAAATTTGTGCTTAATCTTTTACGCGAATAATATATATTTTAGAAGAAGAACATAAAAGAGAATCAGAATGAAAAACCGGCTGTCGTTAACGATCGAAATTTAAAGTTTAAGAGCAAGAATAAAAAAAATAAAGTTGCTAAAAAGATAAAGCAAATACAAAAGAACGAGGAAAATCGTGATAACTTTTTAAACTCTGACGTTGTAGAAGTAGTGAACGTTAAAAAGAAGGGTAAAGATAAAAGAGCTGCAGAGTTTATTCAAAATAAGGGTAAACAAGAATTTGGCAACAGTAGGCAAAATAAGAAAAAGGACAAAGTTGTCGATCAGAAAAAAACTGGTAAAGTTGAAAAAATCGCAAAGAAAGGAAAGTCTAAACAGGAAGTTAAAATGAATAAGGAGGTGGATCATAAAACAGCACAATTGAATGCCCTTCTAGAAAAGAAATTAAAACAGCAGCAGAAGAAATCTTCCAAAAAGAAGGATGATACTAATACAGTCACAAAGCAGCATAACTTGGATGTTAAGAAATTGGAAAAAATGCTTGCTAATAAAAATAAAGAACGAAAAAAGGAGAAGTTAACTGCAAAACCGCAAAACTTAAGGCACAGAATGATGTCTAAATTAAAAAGCTCTAGGTTTAGATATTTGAACGAAATACTGTACAACAACGAAAGTTCAGAATCCAAGAAATTATTTAAAAATGATCCTGATGCCTTTCAAGCGTATCACGAAGGATATAAACAGCAAGTTGAACAGTGGTCTTTAAATCCTCTGGATATTATAATATCTTCGATTAAAAAGATGTACGTATATATTAATTATAATTATCCGAACTCGTTTTCTATTATTACCTATTATATTAAGTCTATTACAGGCCAAAACAGTACATTATTGCTGATTTTGGATGTGGAGAAGGAATGCTGGCTGCTTCTGTCCCTCACAAAGTACACTCTTTCGATTTTGTTTCTTTAAATAAAAATGTGACTGTATGTGATGTCGCACATACTCCTCTGTTGAGAAGTGGTGTAAACGTTGTTGTGTTCTGCCTTTCTCTCATGGGAACTAATTTAAACGATTATATTAAGGAAGCAAACAGAGTTCTTAAAAAAGAGTAAGTAAGAAATGTATGGAAACCTTAAGCTGTATTTAATTTACGTAAATATGTTTCAAACAAAAATTGCATGGCTTCGAAAAGCTCTGGTATCATTTTGGTGCTGCTATAATTTTTTATGGAAAGCTTCAGTCTTTTAATGTAAGAATTATGCACCTTTTCAGTGGGATTTTGAAAATAGCTGAAGTTGAAAGTCGATTCGACCAAGTGGATGATTTTATAAAAGCGATTAGCAGTTATGGTTTTAAGTGTACCTGGAAAGATTTGTCTCACAACTTGTTTTACTTTTTGGACTTCGTAAAAGTTAATGACTTAAGTGGTAAAAAGAATAAATTACTACCTATTACTCTGAAACCATGTTTATATAAGAAACGGTAAGCATTAACCAGTGAGCAAACAAAAAATATACATACATTTATTATGTATTTTATAAAGGAGAAAAGAATGAACATAAAAGAAGTATAATAAAGTTTATTTTCATGTATACTGTGTATTTTATGTACCATGTATTAATTGTGCCATAATGTTTTATGATGACATATTATCTTTTTATGAAATCAATTACATTGTGGACATTTACTATACGTGCCTGCTTAAACAATGTGCTATTCTTAAAACACATTGGTCTGTTTGGCACAATATGCATCATAAAAAGTATAAAACATAATAGAAGAAACATAATTTATTTCTTAATGTGTATAAAAAAGTACAGAAATGAAATTTCAATGTATTTACATCCATTTCATTAATTCTATTTATAAACATCATCATTTGGAAAAATACTTTTATATACAATTAGAATTGTGGTAAAAAACTCATATCTACACCATCCAGAATGTTTTCTGTTTCATCTCTTAAATCTTCAACTTTTCCTACAATGGCCAACTATGAAACAAAGGAATAAAATTATTAAGAGGACAAAGGAACATTCATGTAAATTTCATTTAAAAAATTATTACTTTAGCAGCATCGACAATTTGTTGTGCCAGTTTTCGGTTCAAGTACGGGACTTTTTCTTGTAATTCAATTGGATGAGCTTTAGCAATACATTGCACTGTTTTATATCCTGCATTATAAAGTTGACGTGCTCTACCCTATAAAGGACAGTCAATTACATTAAATTATCATAATTATAGATAAAATCAAGTTAAGTAGTTTTTACATAATTGTATAAGTAAATATTATTCTTACAATCTTCACTGATGGTAGATCCATTAAAGCTTCTAGCTCTTGTGGACAACAATACGATAATCTTTTACTAAACCCACTTATTATGTCTTTGAAACACCAGAGTTCATCCAATTCCTGTAATAATTATACGTTACAATTATAAAATGTTTGAAATAACAAAACTATATTGTACATATATAATTTATTTACAAACCTGGCAAAATCGAACTACAGACAGTGCAAATGATGACACTGAGACCAAAAGATTTTGTACGGTACCTCTATTCACTTGATACTTTTCTGCTATGGCATAAACAGCATGTTGATTCCATAAATCATACAATATTAGTGTTGCATAAAATCTCTGAACTACTCTTGATTCTACATTCTAAAATATGTAAGATCACATTATAAAAATAATAATGACGGATTTATGAATTAGAATTTGTGTACACATACTTTAGGCGTTATCCCATCGCGTATTTTACTAATGTTCGTTTCATTAATTCCTAACAACCTCACCGTTTTCATTTGTTTTTCCGATAAATTAATTATCTAAAAATAGTTTTAAAATATTTCAGAAATATTTGATATAGTGAAAAACAACGGAAACACGTTAAACAACGAAACTACACACGTACCACATCATAATAAACTGTGCCCACTGGCTTTATCTGAGATATGATATCGTATGGAGTAACGAGGTATAAAAGATGCAAATAGTCGAGAAGAATTAAGTGCTCTTGAGTTTTCTTTAAATCCTCATACAATTTATATGCAACCTCCATGTCAATACAACCTACAATACAATAAATACATACTCTATATACAATACAAAAAATAATTTATATAACAAAGTTGATAATAATATTTAATATTGGCAAATTAATTGTACCTTTCATCGCTGCACGTCCGAGACTACAAAGCTCTAGTTTCGTATTATTCCTCAATTCCACTATCCTTTTTTTTGCCGTTTTTGTACTTGTATCACGAGAAGGCAAATGCTGCGTTGGAAACACAACACTAACATCTTCAATGAAACTTTCATCTTGTTTACTTATTTTTATCACACCAGCCTTTAGTAGTTCGGTTATTGTTTTATCTACGATTTCTTTGAGATTCACATTTAACCGTTTTTGTTGTATATTAAGCAATGTTCTCCCCGCTAATTCGCGTAATTCAAGTAGGGTTGTCGCTATGGAGTACAATACAGAGCTTAGAAGTAGATTATTTATACCTCTGTCCCTCTCCACGTGTAATGTACTTAACGAATCATCCATTCTGGACTTCAAAAGTTCTATCACCTATAAATGAATGCATAATAAATAACAATCGTTTCTATTTTATAAATTTTCTAATTATAGAATTTATAACATTTGATAATTATTACTCTTTTTAACTCGTTGCTTTTGCATATAAGTATACTCTCTCCTATGTTTCCGAGACCAGCACGGCCGGCTCTCCCGATCATTTGTTTATATCTACTTAAATTTAGAAACTGTTTACCTACATAGGGACTTCTTAATATCACCTACAATAAATTCTTTGATAAAAATTAACCATCCCAGCACTATCTGGAAATGAATGAGGAATAAAGTACCCTTCTCGCTGGTAAATTTACTCCTGCTGCTAACGTTGACGTACAACATATCACGCAAAGAGTTCCTGCTTTAAAAGCATCTTCCAATAACCGCCTCTCTTCAGATGTAAGCCCAGAATGGTGATAGGCTACGCCGAATTTGATGGTTTTACTTAAAATAGGGCAAAGACCTTCTTCACTTTGAAGTGCGATCAATAATCGCTTCTTTTCTTCTTCCTTGTGGTTGATAAACTTACTACAAATAATTTTAGATAAATTCAATAACAATTTCTAAGTATTTATAATATACAAATGGGAGCTTACTTGAATAAAACTTTTGTTAATAACACAGCAACATTTTCACAGTTCTTACGACTGGAACAAAATATGAGACAAGAATCTTCTGGAATTACGTCCATAACCAGACCTCCGAGTCGGTCGGGATCGATCTTCTCTGCGTTGCTTGAATACTTTTGAATGTATCAAAAATAATTATCAAATATTTACGTATTAGATGTAAAATAAATAAATAAACTTACACGATAATTGATCTTTTTCACATCTGTTAACAATTCTTCCGATTTCGAATCTAACAGCCATATATCACTATCACATTTTACGTACTCTTTTATTTCAACAGGGCGGAAAGTACCAGTATACAGATCTGCGTTTAAAAATCCTGATAATTCTGTCAAGTTACCTATAGTTGCACTCATTCCAACGATGTGAATATTTTCTAGTAATTATAAAAATGTATGATAATGGGTTGAACAATAAAATTATATCGCTTGAATAAATATCTTTTTACCGTTAACATATAATGTTTTCGTTAAAAGACCTTCTAATGTAGCACCTCTCCCTCCACTCTCACCAAGTAAGTGTAATTCATCTACTACTATAATACCAATCTAAAATGATTCAGAATAATTCCTTTAATTTTTGATACTGCATTCAAGCTGAGGTTTTGTCCTTGGACTCTCCTACTTTTACTCACTTCGTGTAAACGATTTTCTTCGATCAGACTGTTTATTAAGCCTAATGATTTTTCTATAGTGCAAATGTATATGCTATTCTTTTTGCGACGCTTTTTTGGAGGATAATTTCCTTTCGATGCTGCGTATTCTTCAACCAAAAAGTTTAATTCAAGAGCAAACGGCGTCATTGCTTGAACCTATTTTGAATCGTTTATAATTAATTATTAACAGTTTATTAATCCATTTTATGCAAATGCATAGTATTAACGCTTACTTTCTCTTGTACTATTGCAACAAATGGTAATATAAATATTGCATTTCTTTTATTATTCATAATTTCCTTCAACATTAATATTTCTGCAACTAATGTTTTGCCTCCACTCGTAGGGAGGGCATAAATTAAATTCTTCCTATTTTTGACAGCATCTAAATTCAAACATTCATCTTGCCATTCTGAAAGCATTAAAGTAAACGTGAATAACACATATTAATCAATGATACCTGAAAGATAAAGATACATGAAAAGACTTGTTGGATTATACCTACTATATAATGAACTAATGCCTCTAATTCGTAAAAGAAGTTCCTTCACTTTACTTGGCAAACCATAAAATGTATCATTGCTTAATGAACAATTATCTTGTCTCTTATCACAATCTAAATGCAATATTTTATTTGGAATAACACTGATTGGGTCAATTAAATTTCTTTTTACGGAGTTAGCATTCTGTTGTTGATTCCTTGATTTGAAATCTGTATTCTCTATACAATTTGTCTCGTCTGCACGATTTCCAGTCTTGATAGCAACGACCTATTTTAAAATAATATTGTAAAATAAAATTCATACCAAAAACATTATGATATAAATAGCGAAATTACAGACCTTATTAATTTCCTTTAAAGTATCATCTTTTATATTAGGTATATCCAGTTGAGTAAATCCATCACTAAAAAATGCACTGTCGTTCCAATGACTGCTTTTTTCAATCAACACAGTTTGAGAAGTAGATGCATCTTTATTGACAATTTTCTCCTTGATATTTTCATTTTTCACTGGATCCTTTTCAACTGTTTCAAACATATCACAGACACTCCATTCATTAGTAGAATTGCTCCAACTTGATACATCCAGAATTTCTTCTTCTTGAATCTTAATTTCAATATTCTGTAGCACTGAATCATCCATAGAGAGTATTGTATCTTTCAATGATTTGGAAAACATTTTGCTTCGTTTCATCAATTTTTATTTGAATTTACATGGTCATTTTGTTTAACAATTTTATATTATGTTAATATGTTTTACAATTTCAGTCATTTATTGAACACTTTATACTAATTTAAATAACTACTAACACTTGTATGTCATCTACACTTATTAAACACTTTATAGTTTATTCTGTAAATAATTTCTGGAACTTGTATATCTAAGTAATGATAATTAATCCGTTCAGGTTATAACTTTGTTTACATGTCGTTATACACGTATATTCTTTTACTTATAGGCAAAGGGTGTATTATACTTTATACTATTTTTTGAAAAGATAAACTTATATGCATAGAACCGAATATTAACTATAAATAGTACAAATAAATAGGCTCCAACAATTGATAAGTAACACAAAATTAGAACTGTAACGGTACATCGCTAAGTATATCAGCTGATTCTGACTCTACTTTCAAAATATATACACTAACCTACAATTTAATCTGATCGCAAGACGTGTAAAAATCTTATATTTTAAACAAATATACGAAATGAACGTGTTTACAAAATCTGTCGCGTCAATAGTAAGTAAAACATAACAATGTCAAAACAATTATTATGCATTATTATGGAATTGTAATGTACAATTGAAGGTTAAACCTGTACCCCTTGTGAAATGCATTTCAACAACTTGTATGAGTTATAAAGATGATTCTGACGATTTAATTCATCCAGAAGGTCGAGAACCGAATATACCATTATATGTCGAACGTAATGAAGAAAGTACGAACGTTAAACGAGCTCGGTAATACTGAAAGGAAAATAATTAGAATATTACGCTCACAAATTAAGTCATTATTCTTTCTATAAATATTTATTTAGAACTACGAATTTATTTATACACTTAATATTTTAAATACGTTCATAAGAGTGTTTTATTTCAGATTAATATATCAATCGCGTAAGCGTGGTATGTTGGAGAATGGTCTTCTCTTAAGTACATTTGCAAAAAAGTATTTAAACAATTTCGATGACACGCAACTGCAATTGTATGATCGTCTTATAAATTTGCCAACGAATGATTGGGATATATTTTATTGGGCAACTGGTGCCAGGCCAACCCCACCGGAATTTGATAACGAAGTTATGGATCTATTAAAGAAACATATAAAAAATGAAGATCGTCAAGCGAGAATAATGCAGCCTGATTTATGAGAAGTTCAGTACTAGTATATTCACGTATGACAGTTTTATTATGTTAGCATTACGAAAGAAATAAAGATATGATAGTATAGTTCAGATTTGTTTGAATG